AGACTTGTGTGCATGGAAGTAATTAAGGTACATCATTATTGTAGTTTTAAAGTTGTACATGATAAGACATTTTTTGTTTTTACTGTATGTTTTTACCGAATGATCTATTCCCCATCCCAAGGCAAGCATGAATAAAATTAGGTTAAATGTAAAAAAATAAATAAATAAATAAATAAATAAAAATAAAGGTATTGTGACCAATTGCAACTAAAAAAAATTTTTAATTAGAAATCAATAGTCATGAAATTGAAGATGTAGCATTGCATTAGCATAGTATCCTTTATAATTTTAATAAATTGGTAAAACAAATTTTAGAATACACATCACTAAACCAATGTATGAAAAACAGACATTGAAATGATCGATTTTATAAATCAAACTTGAGTGGAACCAAATAAGTACTTCCAAATAACCTCAAGTCAATAATTTACTGGGTGTCTCCTGTGTGCAAAAATACACTATTGTAGGACTACTAAGACACACAAATCATAATAGCAATTGAAATTAATTCAGGATTATTAACTGGAAAATAACAAGATGCTACCTCCTAATTTATAACTGTTTGTTTGCCCAAGAAAATAGAGATGGTCTAATATTACACAGCGATGCAATCTAGCACATTAAATGGCTTTTGAAAATTACTTAATGTTGTATTGAATTGAAAAGGGCCTAAAAGGAGGAAATGGCTTTGATGGCTACTTAGATACCACGATAAAGCACAGATCGAGACATTTCATCATTAGATCCAAATTAGCTGGATGACTCTGAAGGTTTCCTAGGTGTTTAGAGTAGCTGGTCCTTAGAGAGAGGCTGATAGCTGTGACATTCTTCTTTCTTCAACTCTTGCATCCCACAAAGTTGGCTGCTTTACAGAAGAGCATGATGTAAGAAGCTAAGGAGTGAGAGACATCAAGACTCTTGCCAGATTTCCCATGGCCTAAGTAACAGCTGTAGCCACTAAGCAGCCACCAGGGGAYGTAGTTAGAGCAAGGTCCCGACAGAGGACTTGGGTAAGGCAGCTGCTCCACAAGAAGCATCAGCCAAGGTCAGCAGGAAGACCTCCAAGTCGGATCAGCCCAGAGCCACAGCAGTGGCAAATATCTCCTGGTATCACTGTGCCCCACATTTCAGAACCAATATTGAACTGGGGTGCTGACAAAAAAAAAAAAAAAGGTCTATTCCCTGTAATAATGGTTCTTTCATATCAACAATTCTTATAAAATCTTGAATTTGACATATTTAAGAAGACCTATCCCAGTTATTTTCAGAACAGCGAATTATCAGTGAGAACATTTAGAACTCTTGAGAAACAATTTACCAGTTGTAAACACTACACTGATCCTATGCAAATCAAAAAGAATACTCCAATAAAAAGATTTATACCAAGCCAATAGACACAGAAGGCACAAACTTAGTAAATCATGTTTTTTCCATGTTGTTAAAGAGTGCTCTATGGAGGAGATAACTAAATTTAGCCTACAAACAGACTTAAAATTWAAAAAATAAACTTAAATAAATAAAGGCAAGAAATAATGCTGAACAAGAATTTTAACTTTTCAAGACATTTCCAAAAAAAAATCTTTTTTATAGTAAGATTTTCCCAACTACATAAGAATAAGTATGTTAGAATGAATAACTTTATGTTATTTCTTCAAGAACAAATGGGTATATTCTCCTCTTTTTTTTTCATTCATGATCATCAAAAGAGAATCACAAATCCAATTCATTCCTCTCTCAGATGTAAAAATGTGTCGATTTCTTTTTTTTTTTAAAGAGAGAGAGAATTGTTTTAATATTTATTTTTCAGTTTTCGGCGAACACAACATCTTTATTTTATTTTTATGTGGTGCTGAGGATCGAACCCAGCGCCCCGCGAATGCCAGGTGAACGCGTTACCTCTTGAGCCATATCCCCAGCCCAATTTCTTTACTTCTAAGAGAATACCATGTTGGGTGAAGCCTGGATCAGTAAATGTTATCAATAAGCACAACAGACTGTGACTTGATGACAGATTGTGACTTGGTATGAAAAATACCAGTATTTCTTTTAACTATTAACATTTAACAGAWAAGCAAGGAAAACCTATGATTTTAAAAAATAAAAATTAGTTAAAAGTTATAACCAAAGAAGCACTTGAACAGCATGAGTCCTGGGAAAAAAAGATGATCCCCAAAAGTTATGAAAACTAAACTAAACCTCAACAGCACAAATGTGCCCAAGCACAGCAGGCACCTGTCATTTTCATCCAGAAGAAGATGTGAAGTAGATGTTTAAAACACTCATTCTTATAATTTTTATGTTTTTATGTATCAGCTTAAAATTTTTTTAAAGAAAAAATATATTAATTCTTGGTATTACCAGATATTTTAATTTTTTCCAAATTAGCAGGTGAGATGTGCTACCTTATTGTTCTCTTATTTTCTGTTTTCTTTGCATTCTTCACTAGGATATTGTTCATACCACTGTGTTCATTAAAAGGGCTGTTCATGAGGCGCTTGTCCAGTAAAACACCCTCAGGTGGAAAGTGTTTTCCTGTCTCCTCTTCTATGAAYCTGATGCCAACTAAAGCAGACTGTGTCTAGGCACCTACAGAAAAGTGGTGGCTAGAGCCCCTAGGCTTCTGGCCCCTGGTTCCTCCACCTCTGTCACTAATTCTTTATCACTCTCATCAAGAAAAGCTGAAAATAAGTGTGCAGGAAGAAATCCAGTTTGTGTCTGCCCAACTCCAAGTGGCAAAAAAAGAACTAGAGGTCTCTCCAGGCTATCTCCTGAAGATTCTGAAAGAGAGAATTAGATTCCTGAAGCAGCAGGAAGCAGTGGCTCAGGAAGAGCAAAGAGAAAAGCCTGTCCTTTGCAACTTGACCACACAGATGACAAAAAAGAACAGGACTTTTTTATTCATCTTTGAATAATGTCGCCTGTTTGGTATTCCAGATGTAAACTTGTATAGATATGTTCGTTCAATTAGCTTTGTTGAATAAGCATTTAATTTTTTAAATTAGGCTAAGATTTAGTTATTCAAAAGCAAGTAGTTGTGAAATTAGAAAATTAAATAATGGTTACTTAGCTTGATATTCAACAGAATGCAATAAATGTTGTTTCTTTTTTCTTTGTAGTCCTGGGGATTAAACCCAGGGGTGCTTTACCACTGAGCTCCAACCCCAGCCCTTTTCACTCATGAATTTATTTTTTAATTCTAAGAYAGGATCTTACTAAATTGACAAAAGATATTCATTTAACGCCATACTTAGAGTCCATGCTGCTCAACTATGAAGTTTCTATAATATGTAGAAACAAAACATAAGTCCTCTGCCATAGTCCAAGTTTTCTTCTGTCATAGTGAAGCCTTCAGACCATACCTATAAATGGCTCTTCAAAAGTACCCTGCAATTTCAAAACCGAAGTACAAATTAAATTTCTACCCTTTTTTCATGTGCCCCATAGGTGACAGTACCTCCGTTTTTAATGACAGTCCGCTGTTAAAGAATATTGTTGCAACAGCAATGTAGGATACGGTTATTTCTGGCTTCAGTGGTCCTAAAAAGAGAGAAATTAGCTACTGTTAGAAAAGAATTTCCAGTAGAAAATTTGGCATGGAAGAAAATTCTGTTGTAGGAGAGTGAATGCTACCTTAAATATTAGCACCGCACCCCACCCCACCCCACCCCTGCCCAGCGGAGTTGCTCATTTGCTGTAATGCAGCCCAACCCCAGAGAAGATTTTCCAGAAGGCCAGGATCAGGGCTCTCTGGCCCAGCACATTATCCTCAGACTAGAAGAATAAAAAAGCTCACAGGAGAGTAGAAAAGCACCTGCCTTCAATACAGGTCCTATGTATACCACTCATGACTGCTGCTACAACAATCAAAATAACCCAATCTCAAAAAGAGAATCAATGAAAGAAGTTCCTTTCTCTAATATAGTGAATGTCATTTCATAGCAGAAATAAAAGCATGTATCCATACATGCCTTCAGTTCTAGTCTAGAGTGTTCTTTCTACCAAAATGTACTGAGCATATCCTATGTGAGATACTGCACACAGAACACTTAACTACTTGTGCTAGGTCCTGGGGACATGACAGTGAACCAGACAGGCCTGGTCCTTACCCTCCAGAAAATTCCCTCTGGAGCTACACTGGCATCATTAGAATTATATTAATGCTATGAGAACAACAGGGGCCATTCTGATATTTAAGTATCATTTGTTGACTTTTACACAATCAGCTTGAAGACCTAATGTGCTAACCACAGAAAAATTCTCCTTTAAAAGATGCAATTCTGAGGAAATGCCATTTTATACCTGTGTACAAGCAGTTTTCCAGCAGTGGCAATTTTGACCCACAGATATCTGGCAATGGTTAAAAAGTGTTTGGTTGTCATAACTCAGCAGGGAGGGTGTGCTACTGGCATCTGGTGGAAAGAGATCAGGAATCCTGCTACATACACATCCTGGTAGGCGTGAAACAGCCCCTCTAACAATAAATTGTCATGTCCAAAATGTCATTAATATCCCAGCTGAGAAACCCTGATATATGCCGTATATACCAAGATCTTAAAATCTGAGATCAACTCATATTTGACTTTCTGTAAAGCCCTCTGTACTGGATTGGGTAGTATCTTCCCAAAAGTCATGTCCACCCAGGACTTGTGAATGTGACCTTATTAGGAAATAGAATCTTTGCAGATATAATCAAATTTACATGAGGTCTTATTGGATTGGGATTGTTACAAATCCAATGACTGATATTCCCCCCCCCCCCCCCCCACACACACACACCAATGACTCATATTTAACAAATAGGAAAACCTGGATACAGGCACACACAGGGAACATGGCCCCGTGTAGACTGAGGCAGAGCCTGAARTGATAACACCACAAGGCAAGGAAGCCAAAGACAGCCGCAACTACAGCAAGCCAGAAGCAGCAAGGAAGGCTACTTCCCCAGAGCATGGAGAACACCCTGACTTTGGACTTCTGGCCTCCAGAACTGTGACAGAATACATTTCTGCTGTTTTAAGCCACCTGATATGTGGTAATTTGTTGCTTAGGTCGTTTGTTGCCTAATTTATTTTCCTTAAARCAAAACAAGACAAAAATTGTGGCTCCTCCATCCTCCAAAACCTTCTGCCATATCCACAGACACTGCTCAAAAAATAGAGAAGACCAAGCTCAGAAATAAAAACTACCATTCACTCATTCAACAAATATTTATTGTGCAACTACTGTGTGTTAGGCATTTGTAGAACAACAATGCATAAAAGAAACAAAGATCTCATCAAACACTGCAATAAGTTATTTTATATACCTGGCATTAATACAAACCATTTTGCTGAGATCTGAGAAAAGGGAGCCAAAGGATGAATACAAGTATGAAAAGCATGATGTTTGGGGACAATAAAGGCTTTTCATCAACTTTTCTCAGGAAGTACTTTTTTTTATAATTGTGAATCTGCTCAGCAACTCAAACGTACTACTTCAACAGCTGAGAAGGGTGATTTAAGAGCAGATTTTATAAAATTTGAGTCTTTTTTTTTTAAGAGAGAGAGAGAGAGAAAGAGAGAGAGAGAAATTTTTTTTAATATTTATTTTTTTTAGTTTTCGGCGGACATAACATCTTTGTTTGTATTTGGTGTTGAGGATCGAACCCGGGCCACACGCATGCCAGGCGAGCGCGCTACGGCTTGAGCCACATCCCCAGCCAAGAGCAGATTTTAAATCCAAGGAATCTGGCTTGTTTTGGAAGAGGATGGTTCCTAGGAATTTCAAATACCTTGCTTTTTGAAACTCATGTCATTTTTATTTTCCTCTTATGCCCTGCTTTTTTGAGATCTTATTCTTGTTAATTGTGGTTCTGTTCTCAGTGATGCCTCCAGAATTTCTATACAGGAAGGGTCAGATTTAGCAATATGGCTGCAGGGGAGAGCTAGGGGACCACAGACCAGTTGTAAAGCCAGCAGGAGGTATTTACCTGGATTACATGGCTCTTTGGGTAGCTCAGGCATTCACTTTTGTTGACCAATAATTTTACTTCTTTTTGTTATTGTTGTTGTTTTGATAGAGCTGAGGCTCAAACCCAGTGTCTCATTCACGCTAGTCAAGCACTCTACCACTAAGCTATACCTCTAGCCCACATAATTTCACTTTTTAAGAAGCTAATTCTTCCCATGCTCTACACACATATACATAAATACACAGAACTATTTAACTAAATTGGCGTAATTCAATGAAATAATCCTGGACTTTTAATATTTTAAATCCTTAAGATTAGGTATGTTGTCTTTTATAATAGATGCACATGTAAATAACTCTAATCTACAAAAGGACACAATGAGGTTATTCCAGGGCTCCTTAAAATATACCTGTAAGGGAGAAAGAGGAATTAATTTTGACTTCAGAGAAGTCACTTCTGAGACATACTCAACCAATACGCTAACAAACRGCTCAAGTTGGGAATGTGGAACTGGAAGTCACCTAGAGCAGAAAGAAAAACTTGGCAAATATTTGCAGAGCAAAGAGTTGAAGCTGAGACATAAAAATGATATCTGGCCCTTCCTTGAGCTAATAATTATGTTCTCCAAGTCACCAAAATAACTAGATTCCGATCTTAAATGGCTAACCTGAAAATATATTTTTACTTTTCTTTTAAACAAAATCCAAAAAATGTTCATCCAAAAAATGGAATGGGTAGCACATCAATCAAAAGAAAAACTGGCAACTGAAAAAAAATAAGGCAATTTCTAATAGGAAGAAAAAAGAAAATGTTTTGGAATACTTAAAAAAGCAAGGAATTATTACCATTTCACAAAAGCCACTCATTATCAAAGTAAATTACACTTTCAAACATAATCCAAAATATTCTAAGATATTTGTGGCAATAAATGTAGGTTATATCATGTTTCTATTTTTTGTTTTTATTTTTGTTTTGGTACTTGAATTGGACCCAAAGGCACTTAATCCCTAAGCCATATCCCCAGCCCCTTTTTTTATTTTTTTATTTTGGGACAATGTCTCACTGAGTTGCTTAGGTCCTCACTAAGTTGCTGAGGCTGGCTCTGAATTCATGATCCTCCTGCCTCAGCCTCCCAAGCCGCTGGGATTATAGGCATGCAATACGGCACCCAGCTCCAGTTTTTAATGGAAAAACAAAGCAACTTCCTTTTTAGGGTTAATGTCTTATTAACAACAATAATTTAATACACAAATGGAAAGGACAAACTTCCTCTATACTTCCAAAGAAACATTTCTCTTCCCAAGAATGAATAGAACAGTGTTGAACTGTCATAAACTCTAAGGTATGCAATAATAATGCAGGGCTTTCCTGGGTCCCATTAGAATAGGTTGTCAATATCTCAGGATCTACATATTTATATCTTCTAAGACATTTTTTTAACCTCCTATATATTTAAAAATGAAATATAAGCCAGGGACAGTGTGCATGCCTATAACCCCAGCAACTAGGGAACCAAGCAATAGGATCACAAGTTCAAGGCCAACCTGGGCAACTTAGCKAGACCTTCAACAAGTTTGTGAGACCCTGTCTTAAAATAAAAAATAAATGGGGCTGGAAATATAGCTCAGTGGCAAAGCACTCCTGACCCCTGCGTTTAATCCCCAGTACCAAAAACAGAAAGAAAAAAAAAAAAAGAAAGAAAGAAATGCAAATGAGTAAAAAGAGCAGTGAACTAAGAATTAAGTTATCTAAGCTAATATCTACTATACTTCTTTCCATTTGGAAAGTTATTCAACTTATTTAATTTTAGGATTACTAAATCTATAAATTTCTTAGCACACTAACTCACCAGATGTCAGTAAAGACTTTTTTTAAGGGAGGTCCGACCACACATATGTGCAATACTTTAAAAGTCTTACACTTAAAAATAGAGTGTAGGRGCTGGGGATGTAGCTCAGTGGTAGAGCATCAGTGGTAGGGCATTAGTTTAGCATGTGCAAGGCCCTGGTTTAATCTCCAGCACTTGAACAAAAAAGGAAAGAAAGAAAGAAAGAAAAAAAAAGAAAGAAAGAAAGAAAGCCACACGCTGGCTTAAAATACTTCCAGCTCTTAATATTCTACTTCTACTCTCTTATAATTAAGCAAAGAAATGAATTATCCTCTATTAATGCCATAAGGAGGAATGGAAATGGGAAACAATATTTCTAAGATACAATAATGTACCAAAACATCAATAAGCAAAGGCCAAGGGAAGAAATATGATTACAGGATCTAGCTCATATCTGCCACTGCCAGGGGAGCTGGAGGGAACTGATTCACCATTCAACAACCTTCCTGCTGGCACACCATTTAGGGAACATAAGGTAAAAGTAATTTGCAAACCTAGCCCCCACAGATTTAAACTTAAAGATCATACGTCACCAGTGATTTCATCTAAAAACTGAGCAAACAGATCTAACACCAGAAGTTCTAACTAGTGAAGTGTATGTTGCAGATGGCTACAAACATGGTCTAAATCTTACTGCTTGGTTAGTTCCAGGCACAGAAGGTTTTCCTTTGACAGAACCTGAAATACCAGCTTTCAGAAGAATTTCTCAAAAGCTTACCAAGAGGCTGTGTCAAAGAAGAAACCCATATCTTCAGAGGGAGAAACCACTAGGAATAACAGGGTTGTTCTCACAGTTATGTACTGTACATATTTTGCACTATGTATAGAAGAAAAAAAAACATTTTAAACAAACAGAAAAGCTTTCATCTACAAGATCACTGTTTAATTCATTCCATTTAAAGTGATTCYGGAGCTGAGGTGGTAGATCACCTGCCCAGCATGWGCAAGGGCCCGAGTTCAATCCCCAGCATTGTAAAAAACAAAAACTAAAAAGCACATAACAATTCCAAAAGCAACTTAGAAGGAACTACTATTTCATTCACTTCCACCATGTTTTCATAAAGAGGTACAAACAATTTCAAATATCCTATGAGCACTTCCTACTATAAAAAGATCGTGTGTTCTCTTCTATCCTTATTTGCCATCCTTGTGAGACTTAGATATTAAATCAACAAATAAACTCGAAGATTGACAAGGTCAAAGATAAATGAAGAAATTCAATTAATGTTGATGAAAAGTAGGACGAGCTTGTCTAAAGGTAGAAGGAGGAGGTTCTAAAAGGCTAATGATATTTCCAGGGTTCCCACCAGTGTCCTCAGGCCACAGTACAAAGCTTCCAGTATACAGACTTAGGTAGGTTTTCAGCCCATCTGYGTTTCCTTGCCAAAATACACATCACTTAGGGTTTCACACAGTCTGTATCTGTGAGACTGCTAGTAGAGCTACTGAATCCCAGCAGCACACGGAAGTAGTGTCCYGAAATGAAAGAGTGCAACGTGTCAGTCGGCTTGGGAGTTTCTGGAGTGGCAGCAACTCCAGCAAATCATCACTCTCCAACACGTGGGCTACCAAATCTGAGCTGGGGGCAGTGTGACCATTTCCCCCCCCCCCCCACACACACACACACACACTTTTTTTTTCCCCCTAATGTGCGGAGGGGGAGGAGTCAGAAATCGACTAGAGCAYGAGGTTCACTCCGAGATAGATAAGAATTCTTATCTAGAAGGGCAGCCTGGAGTCCCTGGGGATGGGATGCYACTTGGAAGGCAAGAGGAGTTAAGTTTCCCTCTCGGTAACCTCACTCCTAGACAGCGAGGCTGGTCAGGGATTGCTCCTAGAAAAGGCAACCTGCACTCGAACGCCTYTGCCTCGCTCCTAACTACAAGTCCCCTTTAGGGGTGGAAAATGACAGACCGAGCCGAGGGCCGAGGGACCCGCCGGGCTGGCCACCGCTCGGGCGAGAGGCACTGGCGGCGGCGGCTCGCCCCTCCTTCCCCGGACTCGCGGGCCGGTGCCGACGCGGGAGCCGCCGCGCCGCCCGCGGAGGTGCGACTTACCCCCGTTCACGCCCACGGACGGCTTCAGCTTGGCTCCGGCGATGGCCAGCACTATCCCGACCATGAACCATTCTTTCCTCACCCTCTCCAGCAGCCGCATGTTTGTTAGGGTGGGTGGGTTTTGTTTATTTGTTTGGCTTTTTTTCTTTTCAAGCTGCGATCCCTGAATCCCCGGGGCGTCTCCACACTTTCCTGGATCCCTCCAGACATGCAGCAGAGCAAGTCAAATTGCCTCTTGTAAACTAAAGACCAGAGGGTTGCTCCGGCGGCTWGGAGGAGGGCTGGGAGTAGTAGTATCCAGTGACAGGAAAGTCTCACTGAGCGCCGCCATCACTACCACGCACCTCCTAATAGGCGCGCACACGCGCCCTTAGCCGTTCCGGCCGCGGGGTCCCAAGCRAAGAGGATCTGCAGCGGAGACTTGGCCCAGACTGACGATAGCAGGCGATGGGGAAGGAAGGCTGGCCACCGGCAGAGATTAACAGACGCGCTGCCGTCCAGACCTGCCAAAGCTAGGGAATGAAGGGGACTTAAAATTGTCTTTGGGCGCCGCAGATACCCAGCCTCATCAAGGGTCTTTCTGCAATAAACCTTTAGGCAAACCTGCCCGCGCCCCTAGAGCATGCACGCACCGAGATTCTCTCCTCTGCACTGCCATGAGCCACTGGGAAGGTGGGGCGTACAAGGTTTGGACAGGAATTTCTGGGTTGGAGCGGCGCTGGCTGGGCGCAGGCTTCTGAGGCGCGCTTCTTCGGGACATTACGACGCCTCCCGGACGCCGGCGTTGACGCTGCGCGGGGGAAGGGCGGCCGCTCCCGCTCGCCGGGTTCCGGGCTGGAACTGCCCGACCCAGACGCGCTCAGCTGTGTSCGCGGGAAAGCGGCTCCTGGTCTGGGATGCGGGGGTGGATTCACAATCGGGCCGCGAGCGGACGCCCAGGTTCACCGACCCATTGCTTCCAGCAGCCACCGCTGCGGGAGCCAGGCAGGGACGGACCTCGCCGGGTCGGCCGCCTGAGGGTGGGCGCCCGACCCGCCTCCACTCCCATCCCGGGCCAGCACCTGCGCCCGGGGCTGGGTAGTGCCAGGGAGCGGCAGGGAGGGCGTTCGCTTTCTCCCCAGAACTGACCACCCAAGCAGCAGGACGGCTCTGGGGAGGGGTCAGGGACTCCAAAGCAAAAGTAGTGAGGGACTGAGGGGTGTGACTCCTCGATCTCTTCCAGTGTTTTCTAAGTGACCGTGACACTGAGAGCCTCATGAATGGACTCCTTACCGGTACACACTGTAGGAACCCCGACTCCTCTCCATTGTGCATCCAAATAAAGACACAAACTACTGTGACATTTTGGGGTAGCCTGACATCTGCCACTTGAATGATTAACTGTGGAATTTTAGGTTTGAAAGGGATGGTTTGGTGATGCTAGACTTTGAATTCCGAATTCATGCAAAGCTTGAAAGAGATTCATCATGTACTTTCCCCTGTTTAGTTTAGCTTTATCATGATGACATGACTTGCTCCCCCAAAACTCAGCTGCCTTCAGCARTTGTGATATCAGTTGTAGGTTACACAGCACCCCGTGTCATGTAAATTATACATCAGACAGCGTGATGAAAAGTTAGTCTCAAGATAAAAAGAATAGGGAGACACAGATGATATTAAACAATTTACCCTGAAAAGAGAGAAGCACATGAAGTGTGATAAAATCAGATGTTAATTATAAAGGCAGTCACAAGGAAAATGGAGGAATATGAAATACAGTTTATGACACAAATTATTTTCTTATGGTAACTTGTTTGGATAAGAGTTGTGTATCTTGGTCATTGAAGGGTATTTTGGTATTTAAAGATCATTACAAGAATTGAGCTGGTTTCACTTTGTGGCTCTTCACAAATTTTTATTTGCTAAGATGGGTCTGTTTAGAATCTCAGAGACATGTTTCCGTCTTGGTTTTAAAAGTACTTGAAGGAAAAGAAAGCATTGCATTGAAGGCTGAGGCTCCYGGAACAAACACCAGAATGGATGGCTTCAACACAACAGAAGTTGGTTGTCTCACAGTTCTGGAGGACAGAAGTCCAAAATCAAGGTGTTGTCAGGGCCACACACTAGAGGAGCATCCTTTCTTGCCTCTTCTGGKTTTTGGTAGCTGTCTACATTCCTTAGCTTCCCTGGTTTTATGCCTTCTGTGCTCTAGTCTCTGCCTTTGTGTTGCATGACATTTTGCTGTGTGTCTGTCTAGTGGCAACATCATTCCAGTCTCTTCATCTGTTTTTCTGTTACCCTGCTTTCAGATTTGTCTTATAAAAACACTTGTCATTGGATTTAGAACCTACCTACCTAATCCAGAGAAAGCTCTCAAAATCCTTTACTTAATTACATCCATGTATATCCTTTCCCCAAATTAGGAAACTGCTTTGTTGAATAGTGTCCTCCAGAGATCCATATCCTTCTCAAATCTCAGAATTTCCAATTTAGTTGAAAATCAGATTTTTGCAGTTTTAGTTAGTCAAGATGAGGTCTTTACCAATTAAGGCAAGGCCTAAGTTCAATGGCTGGAGTCCTTTTAAGATTATAGTGTGAAGATAAACAAGAGAGACACACAGAAGGGAAGACCATGTAGAGATGGAAGCAGAGATGTACCTGCAAAATAAGGAACGCCAAGGACTGCAAGCCACCACCAGGGCTAAGAGAGAAATGGGACAGACTTTCCCTCAGTGCTTCCAGGAGGAAACTGGTGACACCTATTTCAGACTTATGCCCTCCTAAASTTCGAGAAAATAAATGTTGTTTTAAGCCACACAGTTTGCAGTAGTTTGTGACAGTGAAGCCAGATTTACAGATAGGTAGTTAGTGTAGTTAGGTAAATCGGGTCTAATCTTGAGTAAAATGAAGGCCATATTGAGAATGGAGTCCAGGAAAAGGGGAATTGAAAATGTCCTCAAGGTGCAGAGCCCATCCCAAGGAAATGTTAATGAAGCAGCTCCCAGAAAACAGGAGATGCTAATCCAAAAGCCAACCCGGCCAGATTACTCCTTCTGCCCACCTGTCCCCCACCCTTTGGGCCTTCCCACCTACATTCCATCACTGCAAGACAACAGAACTAAGGACAGGAATTCGGGAAAGCTGAGAGAAGACCTTAGCTATAAAAGAGGGAAGACCTCTCCCTTCTATGGATTCCACCTCTTGGGTCCCCTTCTTCCTCCTGGGAGAAGTCTTTTCTGCTGTTCTTTAATAAAGCTTCTATTTCCACTCTAAACTTGCATTCGGGGAAGCAAGGACTCGTCACCGGTAAACAGCGGTAACAACAGCAGCCCTAGGGAACTAGTATAGTGATAGTTATAAGTTCCAAGAATCTGATATAAGTTTCTCCTCGGTGTGACCACCATTCAATTCAGTACAAGACTCTTTCCTAGCTTCTCTTTGTTGCATTTTCTCTGCCTCTTCACATTAGGGGGTTTTTGTTGTTGTTGTTTTGTTTTTGCTTTTTCTATATCAGCCACTTCTCCTGACATCATCCTAGTCAAAATGGATATGAGAAAGCCACATCTCTAAAAAACAAAAGCTGTTGACTCAATCAATTTTGTTTTAATCCATTTTCTGTTGCTATAGCAAAATATCTGAGACTAGATAATTTATAAAGAATTGTTTGGTTGGCTCATGGTTCTGGAAGTTGGCAAGTCCCAAGATCATGACTGGCATCTGGAGAGAGGCTGCTCACTCCATCATAAAATGACGTGGCAAGACCAAACAAGTTGTTACCCCAGCCTCTCTTCTTCCTTCCTATAAAGCAATTTCTATTATTAGGGGGCCCCACCCTCATGCCTTTGTCTTAATCCTAGTTTCCTCCCAATGGCCCTCCCTCCAAAGGCCCTGCTTCCAAATAACATTTGCATATGAGTTTGGGGACTGTTTCCCACACTAGGACTGAGGGTGGCAGAGGGTAGGGGGGACACATTTAAACCATAGCAAATATATTTTTTTAACTGAAGAAATTTTGAGTGTGACTCTACTGTACCCCAAGCACATATCAGGCGCTGCACATTTGATGGTGAACAAAAAGAGACACAAAACCTGCCCTTGCAGAGTTTATAATCCAGTAAAGGAAACAAAATTCGAGCAACTTGTGATTTGTGGAAGGAAAAGAGCAAGATATTGAGAACACTCTAGATTGAGAAAGGTATCCCTGAGATTTGAAGAGTGAAACGGAGAAGGCCCAGGCAGGGAGGAGCTTGGTTGACTAGTCAGTAGCAGGGGAGGCATGTCAGAAAGGTGAGAGCTTACCAGGCTGAGATCACGTCCAGGTTGTGGTAGTTGTAGTAAAGGATTTGATTTTTATCAAATGCTAARGAATTTTAACTAATGAATCTTGAACTTGCAAGTAGTATGCCCAATTTTGTCAAAGAGATTATTATAGAAACAGCCTGGACAGTAATGCAGGAAGAAATGACTAAGTCATGGAGCTGGAAAAACAATTTGTATAAGAACTGCTAGTTGAGCAGGAAGAATGAAAAATGATTCACCAGTCACCTGTGAGGGAACAGGGAGAAAATCTAAAACAACTCACAGGAATTTTTTGCTAGATAGACATTAGTGCTAATCTTTACAAAGAAGATTTGGGGAAAAGATTGTAATTTGGTTTTGTATATCTTGAGTTCCAGGACCACTGGAGCACGGACATAGAGCTTTTCAGGCAGGAAAAATAGAAGTTCAATCTCATGAGAAGGAATTTGTCTCAAATTGTAGCTCTGAGATTCTTCAATAGGATTTTGGAAACCATCGGTATTAATATAGCAGATATGGTCTTTTTAAGCTTTGTTACTTACCCTGGCTAATTAATTTCTTTGAATGTAGTTCATTTACTTTTATTTATGAACAATTACTGTTGCCAAAAACTTACAGGTATTACCTGTGCTTCCTCTTGTGGAATTTATGCTAAATATAATGTGATAGGAATTCCATATTATTGGGCTGCTGAAAACATTCAGTGGGATAGTGAAATAATTCTTTTGTGAAATAATTGCTCACTCATTCTTTCATTCAGCAAACAGTTGTTGGGCTCCTGTTATGTACTAGGCACTAGTCTAGATACTGGAGTGATGAGAGAAAAAATAAGAAATATGGTGTGAGCTCTCCTTGAGTGTTCTAATAATGACATAAAGAAGAAAAGTAACAAGTAGTGGTGAGGGCCATGATGAATAAAACAACTTCATGTGATAATAATTTTAACTGAATGGTCAAGAAAGGTGACTTAGTTCAGGATGATACACCAAGTTCACATAGACTTGGCTGAAACAAGAC